CGGTGCGCGCGTCGCCCCTGGGGGGGCGAAGCACATGTAGTATAAGCACATCTGGTTTAAATCCCAGACAACGTCGACCCCCACAGGACCAGTTTTTCATCCCGAATCGTTTTCTTGACGGTCCCGCGGCCCGGCAAGGGCCCCTGGAGGCCGAAAATAGCGCAAAAAAGATGCGACATCGCAAAAAGTCACGACCAGAGCCCCGGACCCCAATCTTCCTGCGTCGTTTTTCGAGCCGGCTCGATCTGTGAGGATCCCAAGGACCGAGAAGAGGCGAAAACGCCTGGCCACACCCAGACCCCCGACGTCGTGATTTTTTCACAACGTCGACCCCCAAAGGTCTGGACCCCTTCTCCAGGACCAGTTTATCCTGAGTCGTTTCTTTTGACGGTCCCGATAAGGGCACCTGGAGGCCGAAAACAGCAAAAACCTTCCCGTCGTGATTTTTTCACAGCGCGAGAAAATCAGGGCGGAGGTTTTCCTCCATGCCCGACCTCGGGGGGCCCTCACCAAGCCCCGCGACCGCCAAAAAACGACTCGGGATCAGAAACTGGCGCCGGGAAAGGGGCCAGGACTTCCCCGAACGGCGCACTGAAAAAACCCGTGGGGCCGTGTGGCTGGGCCCTGTGGGGCCATGTTACTAGCTATTCGTGACTTGGGATGGGTGTCTAGGTCCGCTTTCGAATGGCAGACGGATAGAGGAGACAAACTTGACCTTCGAACGTGGTCGCCGTTATCCGTACGCGATTTGGCCCGAGAAGCTGCTGAGAGGCGGCTTTGGTTTGATTGGTCTCGTCGTCCCGATCGTGATCACGGCACGGAGTTAGATCCGAAGTCCTCGGCGGGATATTGGCTGGCACCAGTGATCAGTGTGCTGGGCAGAACGCTGGAGGAAGAAGATCCTGACAAACCTTATGTTTTAACAAAGCAACAAGCAGCCACGCTACGAGCAGTAGTGACTGGAGGACTTTGGCCACCATCGCGAAGGGCTAAGCATGGGTTCTCGGACACTGCTACATGCCCTTGCTGCTCGGAGTCATACGCTGATCTTTTCCATATTCCGTGGGTTTGTGAATACAATGAAGATGGGCGCAGAGAGGTGTTCAGCAAAGCGGAGGAGCAAGCGTGCTTACCAGCAGTTTCTCCTACCTCGTGGTTCTGGGCTCGAGGTTTGCTCGCCAAGACTACATTGCCGCCGTTACCCGTGCGTGACGATAGTGGAGTATGGCGTGTCCTATACGGAGACGCAAGTGCTGTCACAGGCGACGTGTTCTCAGATGGGGCTTGCCGTAAGTTTTCTCATTGGGCTGATGCCGCGAGAGCGGGCTGGGGGTTCGCTCAGATTCGGCCGAACATGGTTGACTTGGTTGTATATGGGCCACTGCCAGGGCCGATCCAGACATCGCCTCGGGCGGAGCTGTTCGCAGTGGTCCAGATATTGCGCATCGCTATCCTTCCTTTGAGAATCATGACTGACTATTTGGACCTACCGCAAGGTCTCGAGCGAGGCCAGGCATGGGGCTGTCATCCGAGGCGTCCAAACGCAGATCTATGGTGTGAAATATGGCGGCGCATTGCGGATCTTGGAGGCCTATCAGATGACCTTCAGATTGTTCATGTACCAGGGCATCAGAAAGGTCAGGGATACGAAGCTCGGGGGAACAGGTGGGCTGACTTTGCGGCCTGTCAGGGTCGAGACATGCACGCCGTCCCCACAGCAGTAGCTAAGCAGGTAGAGCTTCTTTTTAAATCAGCCCGCAAAGGTTTAGTTTGGATTGCCAGGGCCCACACTCACTTTTTAGGGGCCACGGTTGCCCCAGGTGAAACTCGGTTCAGGGAGAGGCGGCGTGCTCGAGCCAAGGCTAAAGCTCAGAAGCCAGTGGACGCCAATACGTATCATACGTTCTTCCCGTCTGGCAAAGGCTGGCGGTGCCCGACTTGCGCTAAGTTGGTGAGGACTCCCAAGCAGCGTAAGATTTTCGCGCGTCGCCAGTGCCCTGCGAAGATATTTTTGTGCGATCGTCTCCTGGTCCCTGAGGTCACCCAAGGGGATGAGGGACCCCCTTCTCATGATAACCTCTCAGAGGCTCCTGAAGGCCAATCGCGTGTGCGATCGGCCTCGCCTTTGGAGGGAGTTAGAAGAGCCCGAGCTAGGCTCCAGCCCGACCTCTCTGTGCCTGACAGTCGTGAGTCGTCGTCGGAGAGGTCGTTGCCACGCGAAGGCGAGAGTCGGTCTGGGCCAGCTCGGGATAGGACGTATTCTCTGGTGGGTGAGGGTTTGGACCTGTCGTCGCCGTCGCCGTCGGGAGGGGGAGGAGGTCTTCCGACACCTATGCCTGACGAGGGAGAGTCCCCTGCCCAAGTCTTCAGGCGCGTTCATGCCCGCATCCAGGCTTCCAAGGTGCGAGCTCGCTCCCCTTCCCCCCCTCCGAGGATTGTTCGTGCCCGTCTCTCGGGCCCCACGCCGTCGACGGCTCAGGGTGTGACTTTCGCTGCTCAGCGTGACGACACGCTCGCCCAGGCCGTCAGCGAGTTCGAGGCGCGGCTTGCTGTCTCTGCCCCCCCTCCCCCGCCTCGTTGGGCCTCTTTCAGGCCGCTCGGGAGGGAGCCGCCTATCAAGGCTAGGCGCCTTGGCGGAACGGGGGGTGGACCGGCCGCCGATCCTTGCTCTCGCCCCGCTCGTCCCCTGCCCCGCGCTGGTGAAATCCCTCCTGAGGCTGCCAGGGGACACGAGCTTTTTGTCGCCCCTGGGGCCGTGGTCATTTGTATGACGTGTGGGGGCATCTCCACGGGCAAGGCCTCTTCTTTGGTGTCCAACTGCCCGCCCCCACCCTATTCTAATCGTGCTGCTGGTCACATGTTGCGTTTCAGTACCAACAGGCACCCCGCCGACCATAGGCGGCACGAATCCATATCTGGTCAGAGACGTCTCAGAGTCGATGACCCCGAGGTTCACTGGTTGAATCTCACCTAACTCGTTTGGGGTTTTCCTTTATGAGCTCGCCTCTCTTCTTTGCGTGCTCTCTCTGCGCTTGCGCGCCCTCCCCGCCGTGATCCCGATTTCGGGTGGGCTCCTGGGGTGGGCGCCTTGTGAGCGCTGGAGCCGAGGCTGATCGGTCTTGGCTCGCTTTCCAGTGGCCGTTGGCGCTTCGCGCGACGGACTCCCTTCAGGCTGCGTACTCCTCCTCCTCCTCCTCCTCCTCCTCCTCCGCCCTCCACCGCCCGCTCCATGTCCCGAGCCCGTGGCAGGGTCATCAGCTCGTCGTTGTCGTTGTCGTCGTGGTCGTCGTCGTGGTCGTCGTCGTCCTCCTTCTGGGTCGGCGGCACGGGCCGTAAGGCCTTCACAGTCAGGACATCGCGCGCGATCTCGCGCCGTCCCCCTGGAAAAGCACAGCTCTCGGACGACACGGCCCGCCACGGCCCACGTGCAGACATGCCTAGGCAGGCGGGTCTCGCGCTGCGCGCTGCGCGAGGCGCGGCTATACCTCCGCGATCCAGCGCCGCCCCCCTGGAAAGGCGCACCTCTCTCGGCCCTGGCCGCGAGGCGCGGCGGTGATCTACAGTCGGGGTTGATTGGAGAGGACACGCGAGAGGACCCTCCCGAGGGCCACCTTGCTGTAGGAATGCCGAGGGCATGGGTCGCGAAGCTTTTCTGCGTCGGCGGCTAGGCAGAGTAGCTGCGCTGGCGGAAGAGCTATCTGATCGATGGGTCGCGACGTACAGGACAATAAGGTACGCTTGATTTGGCAGGGTCGACCTACTAACCAACCTCGCCTGTAGGTGTCAGCGCTGGCCACCTCACTCCGGCTGCGCGGGCGGGGGATCCCTCCGCAGACCAGGCGCGTGCCGTGCACGGTGGACTTTAGCACGGAAGGCCCTTCGCGGCGAGGCCAGCGCTACAGGTGCGTGCTGAAATCGGCGCCTGAGGCCGAGCCGACAGGCTGCTGGGGTGCTGCAGCAGGGCTTCGAGTGCCGCCACCGGCTCGTGGGAGCCGGAGGCTGGGCTCGGACGAGGAGGGTACAGATCCTCCGTGCGCAGAGGCCTCCAGCATGGCACGCCGCTCGCCGCCAGCAAGACCCCGCGCGGGAGGCCGAAGAGAGAGGGGACCCGACACTCCACAGCCTCCATTACATGATACGGTGAACTCAGCAGGTGCAGAAGCACCAGATGCGGGCTGGAGCCAGTTGGTGGTGAGAAGAACACTCATGCGAGTCACATGGCCGCGCCTCGATTCATTCTGGCTCAACCCCCACCTACCTCCTGGGCGGGTGCCAGGGCATGCGGGATGACCTTCCGCCATCGCCTCTTGGACTTGATCTTGGAATACGGCGCAAGGCCTGAGAATGCTGGACGCCAACGATACCAAGCGAGCACATCACACCTACCCACCAGCTGTGGCACTAACGTCGAGCGTGTTGCCAGCGCGGCAGCCGCAGAGCAGAACGATGGCTGGCCGTATCAGAGGCACTCCCGCGCCGCTTTCCCTGGTCGTGAAACCAAAGTTTGTCACGTGCGAGAGAATCACCGAGTTCGTTCCCCTGCTCGCAAAGAGCCTACCCGCAAACGTGCGAAAAATACAGAATCCCCCGAGGCGGATCCAGGCCACCTGCGAGTAGTTACTTTGCGGGTACTGGAACGCGTTCGGCGAAGGAAGAAGCAATCACTGGAAAGATCGCAGAGCTGGCCGTCCCAGACTCAGCTTCGCCTTCGCGAGTCGAGGAGCCTGTGAGCCGTTGGGAGACAGTACGATCGTGCCTGCCAGATCGAGGGCAGGGCGGGTCGGCGAAGCGCAGCCTGCGTGCTCGCTGGATGAAGGCACAACTGCTGCTGCGAGCGCACGGGACGGGCGCCGTTGACGACGCAGTGCTCCCCGCACGTCAGGGCCCACGGAGCAGGGGGCAAGAAAGTATATCGGTTCTCTCTTCTCCTGTCCTGAAACCAAGCGGCTGTGATGATGCGGGCACGATCGACCCTCAATCGTCGGGCAGATTGGTGGGGCGCGCAAGCATCTGCAATGCGGCCTTCAACCACTGCTCTGGCTTGCTCTCCAAGGGAAGGAAGTTTATGTCCTGGGCGGCAAAGTGTCACAATACCGAGGCGGCCCCAAGCAGCTACTCGAACAAGCGAGGCAACGAGCAACATGTTTGAAGAATGATTGGGGCAGCGAGGGCATAACTTGTTCCTGCCCCGGGGCATGATGAATTCAGGAAACGAAGAGGGGTCTGGACCCGAAGCGATGAGGTAGCGAAGAAAAGAATCTGGAGACAAAACCGGGCAACGAAATCACAACTTCATCGATTCCAAGGCAACAAGACAAGGAGATACGCAACAAAGCGGCGAACCTGGGAAACTAGCCGCCCAGCGAGCGGTCAACTTGTCCCAGGTCCGAGGCAAGAGAGGGGACAAGGCAACAAAATAACGAATCAACGAATCCACCGAACGAGCCGGGCAACGAGCGCACAGCTTGCCTCAGGCCCGAAGCAACGAGGCAAAGAGGCGACGAGCGAGCGAAACCAGGCAACGAATCGGACGATGGATGCAAACCGTTCACGGGGCCAAAAAGCAACCATGGAAAAAAGCATCAACTGATTCTGACAACGCGCGCACAACTGAGTCGCACCACGAGACCCAACCTCCAATCCCCACATGATCACGAGGGACTCAAATGCGCTGCGTTTGAGAGAAAACTGAATGCGCTGCTTACCGAAAACAATCGCTTCACCCTTGATGCCCCACTGGTTTCACTCGTGCTCCTGGGGGCCTCCACCTAAGCCTGGCTGGATTGCTCCGTCTCGTCCTCAGTACATTGTAGCATACGCCGCACTCACACAACAAGGTAAAATGCACTATCAAGTAGTAATACCCTTTCAGGCTAAGTGAATTGGAACGCATGCTCCGAACACAACACACGCGACCCCTTGTAAATAGCCTACTCCATCTTCCATGCAACCTGCAGGGCCCTTTCTGGCGCTCTATCGGGCAGTCCTGGTTTACGAGGGCGTGGCCGTCCCTGTGCGCACGCCAACATGACAATAAAGAACAACTCTGCAAACGGACCATACATACGATGAGCAAGCCGTCGCAAATGCAGCTGGAGGCCGCAGCGTTCGGAAAAGTGCCGCCAACGCTGAAAGCGATCGAAAACTTCGGACGGGACACACTAAGGGGTGGTCGTTAGGGACGTGTCCAGAGCAGCAGCAGCAGCCCTTACAGAGCGAGCCTGGGAAAAGCAGGCGCTTCGTCTCCGACGCAGTGCCTGTCAACAACAAGAGAGCCGATCCTGCTGGGGCGACCCTGTGTGGTGGATGGACCCCCAGAGTCAGCAGCAACACAGCAGGCGACACATGTTATAAAGAAGTCTCGCGACCCATCCGATTTCTCATGTGGGTAACCGCAATACTGGTTGTGCTGACAGCTTGAGGTGGGAGAGTGCACCAGAGTCGCTGGTGGCACCACCAGGGAAGAAAGCAAGCCACGACGTGGATGCTAGGCGAACCAGACGAGCACCTCCGAGAGCGGGCTAGGGAGGGAGGCTGTGGGAGAAGAACTCTGAGGCAGGTCCAGGCACTATGAAGAAAACTGGCAGCTCGAGCCCAGGTCAAAATGGTGATGGAACGCTGAGAACATGTACTTCAGGAGATACGGCTAGTGCCGTAGCAAGAATCAAAGAAGATCATGCGCGAATGTTGAACGAATCAAGGTCTGAAGCAATACTGAAGCAAGCCCATGCGTATACGTGAACGTCTGAGGGGGAGGAGAACGGGCCGTCTCCTGGGCATCTCGGCCTAAGTGGTTCCAAGGAGGGCCACTGAGGAGCCGAAGAGAAACCGAAACAGTCCGGAGAACCTCCAGAAGCCGTGCACCCCGAAGACGGCATAGGACAGCACCAAATCAGGCCGCAAGACTGCAAAAGAAAGGCCCCGGACAGCCACAGATGGCTCAAGAGGGCCCCACGAGGACCCTAATACAGCCCCAAGAGGTTCCCCAGGCGGCCGAGATGGGACCAAGACGGCCCAAGACGGTCCAGGAGAGCCCAGGGACGGCCCAGGAGGGTTTCTGGAGAAACCCAAGAGGACCCCCAGGAGCACAAATCAGCCCAAAGATCGCCCAGGTAACCATGCACCCCTGAGAGTGAACCCCTGGGGAAAAGAAAGTTCGGGGTTCTGGGGAGGTCCTCATCTTCCCCCAGGATGATCACCTCTCAGGTCGTAAAGGGGGGATGCTTTATTCCCAGATAGCTCCTTGGAGAGCTGTAGGGTTGTAGAATTAGAAGCCAGAACGGCAGGGTAGCCCTGGAGCTCGTTCCGGCTTCCGTCCAGACACCTTGGCACGCCCTGCCTGATCCAGAAATCTGTCCCGAGAGACCTCTGAGCGTTCAAAAACGCCTGCCCTGACGCTCTCCAGAATCTCTATCGGTAGCTCCTTCCAGGCCCTTGTGGAGCTTCGTCGAGAGGCCTTCGCACGCCATTCTGGCGCCGTGCTGCCTGGGATTTGGACTACACAAGTTACCGCGACTGCCCAGGTAGCCATCACGAGAGCCCCATATCAAGGAACAGAGAGACAAGAGGTGCCACACGTCACGGCCTTCTCGGCGGTGCTCGAAGCGCCGCCACGCAGGGGGCTGCGCTGGCACGGCGCGGCGGCGGACTCGCGGCAGGCAGCCGGATACTGAAGCAAGCCCGAGCGCGCGTGTGCTAAAAAATGGAACACCTGTTATACAGCGCACGCGCGAGCGAGCGAGCGAGAGCCAGCGAGCGAGGGAGGGAGGGGAGAGCGAGCGAGTACCAGACAGGGAAGAGGCGCGAGGGAGAGCGGGCGAGGAAGGGCGGGCGAGCGAGGGAGGGCGAGCGAGGGAGGGAGGGAAGAGCGAGGGAGAGCGAGGGAGAGCGAGGGAGAGCGAGGGAGAGCGAGCGAGGGAGGGAAGAGCGAAGGAGAGCGAGCGAGTGAGTATCAGACAACAAAGAAGCGAGCGAGGGAAGGAGAGGGTGACAGAGACGGAGGGGGAAGCCGGAAAAGCATAAGTACCAAAACAATTGTGGCCGACGGAACGAAGAGAACACCGAGGAGCATGGCATAGACACATAATTACAGTGAGGCGAAGGCCTAGACATCAAACAAACGAAAAAATCAACGAGAGGCAAACAAAGGGACAAGTGCGAACCTTCGCAGCTCTTCTCGGCCGTCTACCCAGGTGAAATTCCCCTGGCCCGCAGAAACGACGTCACGAAAGCGCTCGCAACAGTCAATCGCACTCTCTACACTCGAGACGCAAGTGACGCACATCTCGGTAGCATGCACGAGTGCGGATACACCTGAACACATCGCCACAGGTCCCTCGAGTCTCAACCAGTCCTTCGTATCCTCACTGTGCAGACCCCGGCAGACGCTTCGCTCTCATGCGTCGGTGCCGCAGGGTGCGGATGCCCGCGCGTCCGCGCGCGCCCGCAACCAACAAGATCGCAAACACGAGCGCAAAGAGCGGCACGAGCAATCCGGAGCGAGTGCGCACGTGGAGGGCGGGCCGAACCGAGGCGGCCAGAGAGAGGGGGGCGCCCGACGAAGAGCGGGCGACGACCACGGACCTGCGCGAGATGCCTCCAGACTGCCTCCGCGTCTGGCGCGGGGGCCGCAGCAGACCCCGCAGGCGGGGAGGAGGGGGCCGAATTGAGACGTGCAGACCCAGACGTGCGACGTCCCGATTTTTTTCAACACGGGGTCCCTGGAAGTCCCGACCCTTTCCCTGGGACCGGTTTTTCGTACTGCGATCGTTTTGGGACGGTCCCGGGGCCCGGCGAGGGCCCTCCGAGGCCGAAGCCGGCCGAAAACCGCCCGTCGCGATTTCTTGTTACGACGCGATCATGTCTGGGGACAGAGGGCGGGGCGCTGGCGACGTGGGGGGAAGCACAGGCACCTCCTCCTCCTCCTCCTCCTCCTCCTCCTCCTCCTCCTCCTCCTCCTCCTCCTCCCTCCTCCTCCTCCTCCTCCTCCTCCTCCTCCTCCCTCGTCCTCCTCCTCCTCCCTCCTCCACCTCCTCCTCCTCCTCCTCCTCCTCCTCCTCCATCCTCCTCCTCCTCCTCCTCCTCCTCCTCCTCCTCCCCCTCCTCCTCCTCCTCCGCCTCCGCCCTCCGCCTCCCTCCGCCTCCGCCTCCTCCTCCGGGTCCTCCCTCCCGCCTCCTCCTCCTCCTCCGCCTCCGCCTCCGCCTCCGCCTCCGCCTCCCCCCTCCTCCGCCTCCTCCCTCCTCCTCCTCCTCCTCCTCCTCCTCCTCCTCCTCCTCCTCCTCCTCCTCCTCCTCTGGCCCGGGGGCCTGGAGACGGCGACACACCGGAGACGGCGACACACCGCCGATAGATGGGCGACAGGCCCCCGATGGCGAGTCCGCACGTTGCTGAGCGAGGGGCGGCCATGGGGCGCCCGTCGGCGATCAAAGGGCGGTTCGGGGTCGATGCACCCCCTCTGAGCCTATCCCCCCCCCGCTACTTAGCGTTGCCCCTGAATCGGGCGCGAGGGCCGTCGTGGCGAGGGTCTCCGGCGGGGCCCGGCTCTCCGAGGGGCCCCTCCCCTCGGTCGTGGGCGCGCGGGGAGGGGCGGAGACGGAGCTGACCCGACCCTGACTGTGCCCAGCCCCAGGCCGGGGATCGGCGTGCAGACCCTCCTGTCTTCGCCATGCGGGCAGGCGTAGACACCGATCCTGGGCCCAAGGTTGGGCCCGGCCTGTATCGGTGAGGTGGTCCTGGGATGTCCCCCGGCGTTGCATCCTTTTTCCTCCCCCCCCCCCGCGCCAACAGCCGCTGTCCTCTTCGCAGGCAGGTGGACAAGCACTCGGGAGGAGGAGGCCAGGAGCTGGGGAAGAGCACGGCTCCGGCCCTCCCCTTGCCTGGCCCCCGTCGCCTCAGCTCTTCCCCATCGCAGGACCCAGACCCCGACTGCAGGGGTCCTAGCGGAAATTGAGAGATTTGACGAAAGTTTCCCGCCGATTCTGGTAGCCGGCTGGATTCCCGGGTTCTCGGT